CTCTCTCTCTCTCTCCATGTGTGTGTGTGGTTTAACACCTTGTTGATATTCCATTTTGCTTTGGAATGCAGATATTTGTCAGCGATGCCCTCCATAGTTTGATCTCGACCCAGCATCCCTGAACACAGTTTATTAATATACCTCAAAACGCGGCCCCGTGATTGGCTACCGTTGCCAGCCAAAATATACGTCCTTGAAGCAGTCGGCCAACGCGTGTTTCTTCCATATAAAACTTTTCATTTCAGGTTTTAATTCAGCAACCCGTCCGGGAATCCCACGGAGAGTGGCCCCGGACACGAGAGTGGGACACCAGAGTGGGACACGATCTAGGACACTGGAGTGGGACACCAGAGTGGGACACACGAGTGGGACACGAGAGAGCGAGTCCCAGAGATTTAATGCCGTCTCCTCACATTCATTGTTTGGAAAATACGCAAATTGAGATCAGCCTTCCAAGTTCCCCGGCAGGTGGTCTCCCTCAGGTCTCCTCCAGTACCTGCTGAGCTCAACCATCCAAGGGTCATTACCCGCCAAACACCGAAACTACGACGTTGGTACAACGTTCGAACAAGTTTTAACACCTAACCAGTTTTAACACCTTCTAACCAGTTATAACAACCAATATAGCAAGTTGTAACAATGTTCTAATACGTCATAAACACGTTAAGCCAAGATGTAACAACTTTATTACAAGTTGTAACAAGCGGAAAATAGACAGAGTTTCGGTTTGTGTTTCCCAGGGTATAGAAACACTAAATGAGGTTCGTATTTAAGTGAGCTATCAGCAGGTGGATAAAAGAACCTTTAAAACATATGTTGTTGCTGTTGAGAATAAAATTAGTATTTTTTTCATGAGATCAGATTAAGGTAAATAATTGTTTATTAAGACGGGAGTAGCCATGAGGCCTACTTAAGGCTGTATTTAAGATAAACAATGGCTTGAATTTACTAAACATTTTATGGCACAATCATCAACAAAAATTAATTCCCCTTTTGCGACCTTGTTTAAGACCCTTTTATTCCCATTCCATTTCCTTCAACTGGCCATTCAGGCCCGCCCTTCCCCCCAGTCTTGCCCCCCGGGAGGAGTATTGGAGCAATAAGCCGCTCGCTCAGCGATCACCGCCAATATTCGCTACGACACGGCCGCCTACCAATTAACAAGTGCTTGTATTAGCTCCTCCACAGCCTCTCAGATCTCGTAGAGCCTCTTCTGCTACTTGTAACCTTGTCTGCGCTTGTGTGTGTGTGTGTGTGTGTGTGTGTGTGTGTGTGTGTGTGTGTGTGTGTGTGTGTGTGTGTGTGTGTGTGTGTGTGTGTGTGTGTGTGTGCTGAGATCTCCCAGTTGCCTGTGTGTGTGTTTCCCAGTGGGCGGGGGACGAGGATGGGACTACAGTATGAGACCTCAGGCGTAATTAGTTTAGCAATAGAGTATAATAATTTTCACAGGAGAATATCAGAGATTACTATAAATTAGTTGCTAATATGAGATATTGCATGCAAATCAGTCTGTGTGCATAGGCAGTTATTTTAAAGATGAAATAATGGTGTGAAGTGGAGCTGTAAGTGGATTAGCATTAGACTGTTTTAAATTTTCACGTGAGACTCTCAAAGACTCACTTGAATTGTTCAATTAAAGCAATAATGTATGCAAATTTACCTGTGTGTGTGTCTCAGGAAATTGGTATAGAGTTATTCAGCATTGTCGTGTGATACCATACATGACGGTTCTGTCTAGGAGGCCGGGTCTGGGAGGCCGGGTCTGGGAGGCCGCGTCTAGGAGGCCGGGTCTGGGAGGCCGGGTCTGGGAGGCCGCGTCTAGGAGGCCGGGTCTGGGAGGCCGGGTCTGGGAGGCCGCGTCTAGGAGGCCGGGTCTGGGAGGCCGGGTCTGGGAGGCCGGGTGTGGGAGACCGGGTCTGGGAGGCCGGGTGTGGGAGACCGGGTCTGGGAGGCCGGGTCTGGGAGACCGGATCTGGGAAGCCGGGTCTGGGAGACCGGGTCTGGGAGACCGGGTCTGGGAGACCGGGTGTGGGAGGCCGGGTCTGGGAGGCTGGGTCTGGGAGACCGGGTCTGGGAGACCAGGTCTGGGAGGCCGGGTCTGGGAGACCGGGTCTGGGAGGCCGGGTCTGGGAGACCGGGTCTGGGAGACCGGATCTGGGAGGCCGGGTCTGGGAGGCCGGGTGTGGGAGACCGGGTGTGGGAGGCCGGGTGTGGGAGACCGGGTCTGGGAGACCAGGTCTGGGAGGCCGGGTCTGGGAGACCGGGTCTGGGAGGCCGGGTCTGGGAGACCGGGTCTGGGAGACCGGGTCTGGGAGGCCGGGTCTGGGAGACCGGGTCTGGGAGACCGGGTCTGGGAGGCCGGGTCTGGGAGACCGGGTCTGGGAGGCCGGGTCTGGGAGGCCGGGTCTGGGAGGCCGGGTCTGGGAGACCGGGTCTGGGAGACCGGGTCTGGGAGGCCGGGTCTGGGAGGCCGGGTCTGGGAGACCGGATCTGGGAGGCAGGGTCTGGGAGGCCGGGTCTGGGAGACCGGGTCTGGGAGGCCGAATCGAGGCAAACAGTGTTTAAATACGGCTTTTAAATGTAAATTCTGTCCGGGCCCAGTACCGGTATTAATACTAAGTTAGGTTGACTTTTTGTGTTATGCTATTGGCTCTTAACTGTAAGCGATTGCTGTAATAGTAGTTAGTGACAATTGCCAGGATGTGATCAGGAGTACAGCCGGTTAACGCTGACGGCTGAGAAATGTGGCGAAAGCCTTGGTCAATGATATTCACGTGAGAAACCTCATATATTCTTTGTCTCACTTAGGGCAATTTTTGAACTTGTTAAAAGCGTGTTATTAATTCTTTTAACGTTAATTTATTATTGTCAGGTGATACAGGTGCCGGCAAGATACACTCCTCTCGCCTAGAAAGAGTCAGGCTTTCCCCTGTATAGTCTACAAGCCCAGGGAGGCAAGATGGCTGACACACCCAGGCAGGAGGGAGCGTTTCCCGCCGAAAGCAAACAGGAAGCCAGTCTTCAGGAAAGATGGAATTGTGATTGGCTGGCCGCGCAATTAGAACGCGCCATCGTTTGACGAGATGTCACCGCCCGCGTCGTGAGTGCAAGACTCGGCTGGCGTCACAGCACTCCTAGTGTTTGTCGTGGGCGGACGCACCATTTCTCTCTCCAACAAAAAGCAATCTAGCCCGTGGAGGTGGACACGAGCTGGTAGAAATCATGGTCGAAGGCACTGGATACGTCGAACAACTTCCCTAGGAGCGTTGGGGAGCGCCCAAACCGCGAGAAGTGGGACTTCAAAACGTGTTAGTCTACCTGTCTACCAGAAGAGCGCGCTGACACGGCCAACTGAGTGACCTTAGAGTCGCTCCTGGGATTTGGAACGACTTAGGACAAACGGAGGTAGTCTTGGTCGTCGCGCCTGCCAGTTGTGAGGGAACCTGGCCGAGGGTAGACTCCAGGAACTGCTCCCTGCAGTGTAAAACCAGCGCAATGGGAGGGAAGAGCGCCTGGGACCTTGTGTCATCCCTACAACTGTGATTCAACGCGGACAATTGGAGATGACCAACCAGGGTCAAGAGAATGTCTTGGTGACCATTCTGCCAAGTACAACAGTCAACTGAGTCCACCTCAGGTGGACTGTAGACTCGACGCTCCCGTCTCAGTTGAGTTTTGTAGTTGGCAGAATGGTCACCTCCCCCCCCCCAAATCCCTAGTGCTAGGTTACTGTGTTACTCCAGTGATTACGGAGTTTACTTTAATGACTATTCGTGAGGGGGGAGTATACTCGCATATATATATATATATATATATATATATATATATATATATATATATATATATATATATATATATATATATATATATATATATATATATATATATATATATATATATATATATATACTTTTACTCACGTGTTGATATTTTCAGTATAGTTGATCTGACACAGAAGGCCAAGGCAAGCAGTTAGTATTAAAGAAAGCAATATAACATAAAAGTTCATTCAGACTTTGTTTGGGCTAAAGTTTACCTTCTAGTACCCAACGACATGTGATTCAGTTGATCATCAATCTATTAAATGTGAGGCCATTATACCCGGGGAGCTGGAAGACTGTAGTAACTGACAGCGGAGAGGAACTTTAACGATGCTGCTGGATTGTTCGAAATGTTGAAGCGTTTTTCCATAACGTAACTATCATCTGAATTTTGTTGGCCACAAGTATATTATAACATTTGTGAGTTAACGTGTGTTCGGTACTCAGCGCCCCCCGACACCTGTACTCTGTAAACTGTCTACCTGGAGTGTTTGATCCGCGTATGAGAGCCACCATCTGTGATTATTATAGGACGAAGCAAGTATACCACGACGTGTTATCTTCACCTGAGAGCGGCAGTGTGAGATAGCCAGGCTGACCAGGCTGCCCAGGCTGCCCAGGCTGGCCAGGCTGGCCAGCCTGGGCAGCTTGGAGAGGTGTTTTGTGGTGGCTAAGTCGAGGGTTCGAAACCCTGTGCTGTTGACGGTCGGGAAAAGACCGCGGTCCAGGGAGGACCATTGACCTCCACTCTTCACGGGGTACAAGGCCGAGTGGGGAGGTGACCCCCCCACTCCGTGTGTGACCTCACTCCGTGTGTGACCCCCCACTCCGTGTGTGACCTCACTCCGTGTGTGACCCCCCACTCCGTGTGTGACCTCACTCCGTGTGTGACCCCCCACTCCGTGTGTGACCTCACTCCGTGTGTGACCCCCCACTCCGTGTGTGACCCCCCCACTCCGTGTGTGACCCCCCACTCCGTGTGTGACCCCCCACTCCGTGTGTGACCCCCCCACTCCGTGTGTGACCTCACTCCGTGTGTGACCCCCCACTCCGTGTGTGACCCCCCCACTCCGTGTGTGACTGGAGTGGAGTGGGGTCGACCAGGTCACAAAGGCACTGCTAGGAGGGGTAAACGCCTCGCTCCCACACGAAGGTTAGGCTGTAGTAACATCGCGTTAAATGAAAATAGTGTGTCTAGCGACGCGGCCTGGAGCCAGTACCTTCAGCCCAGTACCCCCAGTACCGCCATCCGGTACTGGGGGTACGGGGCTGGGGAGACGAGCACCTGGCGGAGGTAGCACACAGGACACCTTTGAGAATGTGAGTGACGACCAGAAGACATCAGAGAGGGTGAGTGACGACCAGGAGACATCAGAGAGGGTGAGTGACGACCAGGAGACATCAGAGAGCGTGAGTGACGACCAGGAGACATCAGAGAGCGTGAGTGACGACCAGGAGACATTAGAGAGGGTGAGTGACGACCAGAAGACATCAGAGAGCGTGGGTGACGACCAGGAGACATCAGAGAGGGTGAGTGACGACCAGGGGACATCAGAGAGCGTGAGTGACGACCAGGAGACATCAGAGAGGGTGAGTGACGACCAGGAGACATCAGAGAGGGTGAGTGACGACCAGGGGACATCAGAGAGGGTGAGTGACGACCAGGAGACATCAGAGAGGGTGAGTGACGACCAGGAGACATCAGAGAGGGTGAGTGACGACCAGGGGACATCAGAGAGGGTGAGTGACGACCAGGAGACATCAGAGAGGGTGAGTGACGACCAGGAGACATCGGAGAGGGTGAGTGACGACCAGGAGACATCAGAGAGGGTGAGTGACGACCAGGGGACATCAGAGAGGGTGAGTGACGACCAGGAGACATCAGAGAGGGTGAGTGACGACCAGGGGACATCAGAGAGCGTGAGTGACGACCAGGGGACATCAGAGAGCGTGAGTGACGACCAGGAGACATCAGAGAGGGTGAGTGACGACCAGGGGACATCATAGAGGGTGAAGAAAGGACCAGAGGAGACATCAAAGGCAGCGGCAGCAACACACAGTCTCGCTATACAAGATAACAGATGTTGCATCTTGAGTTGACGCCCTTGCGATAGCCTGCAGTTGCTCGCAGGACAGATAAAACACCTACGACAGTCTGTAACATAACATTGTATTAAACTTAAAGCATTCGGAGGGCAGGGCTTGCACATGGGCGCCTCCCTGCCCGCACATCTAGGTGATAGACGCACACAACACACACGCACACACGCACACACACACACACATATACACAACCCGAAGTTCAGTTCCCGAGTTCAACCCGTTCAACCCGAGTTCAACCCGAGTAAATGCAAAGTAATGAAACTAGGTGGTGGAAATAGGAGGCCAAACACAGGATACAGAATAGGAGATGAAGTACTTAATGAAACGGACAGAGAGAAAGATCTAGGAGTTGATATCACACCAAACCTGTCTCCTGAAGCCCACATAAAAAGAATAACGTCTGCGGCATATGCGAGGCTGGCTAACATCAGAACAGCGTTCAGGAACCTGTGTAAGGAATCATTCAGAATCTTGTACACCACATATGTAAGACCAATCCTGGAGTATGCGGCCCCAGCATGGAGCCCGTATCTTGTCAAGCACAAGACGAAGCTGGAAAAAGTCCAAAGGTATGCCACTAGACTAGTCCCAGAACTAAGAGGCATGAGTTACGAGGAAAGGCTGCGGGAAATGCACCTTACGACACTGGAAGACAGAAGAGTAAGGGGAGACATGATCACAACCTACAAAATCCTCAGAGGAATCGACCGGGTAAACAAGGATAAACTATTCAACACTGGTGGGACGCGAACAAGGGGACACAGGTGGAAACTGAGTACTCACATGAGCCACAGAGACGTTAGAAGGAACTTTTTTAGTGTCAGAGTAGTTAACGGATGGAATGCATTAGGCAGTGATGTGGTGGAGGCTGACTCCATACACAGTTTTAAATGTAGATATGATAGAGCCCAGTAGGCTCAGGAATCTGTACACCAGTTGATTGACAGTTGAGAGGCGGGACCAAAGAGCCAAAGCTCAACCCCCGCAAGCACAAATAGGTGAGTACAAATAGGTGAGTACACACACACACACACACACACACACACACACACACACACACACACACACACACACACACACACACACATAAATTTAAACACACACACACACATAATCTATTCATAATTTTAAAACCAGGTATGATAGGGAAATGGGACAGGAGTCATTGCTGTAAACAACCGATGCTCGAAAGGCGGGATCCAAGAGTCAATGCTCGATCCTGCAGACACAACTAGGTGAGTACAACTAGGTGAGTACACACACACACACACACACACACACACACACACACACACACACACACACACACACACACACAACATACACACACACACACACCCACACACACAACACACACACACACACCCACACACACACACAACACACACACACACACACACACACACACACACACACACACACACACACACACACACACACACACACACACACACACATACACACACACACACACACACACACACACACACACACACACACACACACACACACACACACACACACACACACACACACACACACACACACACACACACACACACACACACACACACACACACACACACACACACACACACACACACACACACACACACACACACACACACACACACACACACACACACACACACACACACACACACACACACACACACACACACACACACACACACACACACACACACACACACACACACACACACACACACACACACACACACACACACACACACACACACACACACACACACACACACACACACACACACACACACACACACACACACACACACACACACACACACACACACACACACACACACACACACACACACACACACACACACACACACACACACACACACACACACACACACACACACACACACACACACACACACACACACACACACACACACACACACACACACACACACACACACACACACACACACACACACACACACACACAACACACACACACAACACACAACACCCACACACCAACCTTCCTCCAGGAAGATCCCTATTACACTTTGTATTAAAGATTCCAATACACCCCTGCCACACGCCTCCCCAGCCCTCTGTTGAACCTTGAAGGACATTTTGGCAGTATCCAAGCTGTTATGACGCCAGAATGGCTATTGGAAGTGAGGCTGAATTCCTCCTTCAGCGCCACGGTCAATGAACAAGTATTTTACGAGCACGCAATGGCCAACGCCTCGACGGTATTCGACTGAAAAAATAATGGAGAATTTGTTGGATACCTTAATAGTGAGGAAGACCGAGATGTTTCCTTGTGTTATGACTATAATTAATATATAATAACTAGAAAACTACTGAATACAATTTTCACATGTTTATGTAATATATATTACAGAAACATGTGTATCCACCCCTGACTGACACCTACATACACTTCGGTGCTGATCAAGCAGGTGAAGCGGCTAACCACAAGGAAATAGTAAAATCAGTCAAATACAGGTGATTGGAAGATCAATACACCTTTGTTCCCATAGCCTTGTTCCCATATTCCCATAGGAAGCAGTACCTTGGAATTTCTCAAAGAATTGGGTTCCAGGCTTAATGACATAACCAGAGACCCAAGGGCTGCCGGTTAAGTGTTTCAGCGCCTCAGTGTGGCGACCCAGAGGGGAAACGCCTGCTGCGTCCTCGGTTCCTGTCCGGAAGCGGAGGAGCTGCAAGAGATCCATAACGTTTAAGCACTCATTGTATCAACCAATATACGTCTTGTAACCTTTAAATATCAAATACAGCACAACAGAACATATAAGGAAGGGAGTGGTGGAACAAATGAACATTTTGTTTTGTCCGCCCCCCCCCCCTCCCTGTACTGGAGAGTACCTAAAAATCCTCTCAAATGCGTTATGTGTTTTTCTCCGAGGCTAAGGGTCCCCTTCTTCCAGCCAGAGGTGGTACTTCATTCCAATATTATTTAGAGTAACAAAAAATAAAATAATTATATATATATATATATATATATATATATATATATATATATATATATATATATATATATATATATATATATATATATATATATATATGTCCGGAGATGACGTGACAGAGTTATTGTATTTTTAATAACATGTGTTCCTGGGATGAGATATCAAGTGACGTCCTAGTACAAGGAGGTAAAATTGAATTAGTTTGGAGAGCTCTACTATTACATAATATTACATATGTGTATAAATATTTTTAAAATGATTCGCTAATGAGCATGTAATGAGAAAGCGCTAAGCTAGTACGACTATATAGCACTGAGATGAGGAATGATGAAAAGGAGCTGGGAAGTGAGGACAAGGAACTGGGATATGAGGACAAGGAACTGGGAAGTGAGGACAAGGAACTGGGAAGTGAGGACAAGGCGCTGGGAAGTGAGGACAAGGCGCTGGGATATGAGGACAAGGCGCTAGGATATGAGGACAAGGAACTGGAAAGTGAGGACAAGGCGCTGGGATATGAGGACAAGGAACTGGGAAGTGAGGACAAGGCGCTGGGATATGAGGACAAGGAACTGGGATATGAGGACCAGGAACTGAGATGTGAGGACCAGGAACTGGGATGTGAGGACAAGAAACTGAGATGTGAGGACAAGGAACTGGGATACGAGGACAAGGAACTGGGATGTGAGGACCAGGAACTGGGATATGAGAACAAGGAGCTGGGATATGGGGACTAGGAGGTGGGATGTGAGAACAAGGAACTGGTGTAGGACGGAAGGAAGGGATAGTGCGCCGATCACTTGGACCTTCGGGGAACTGGAGGCTGACCTTCAAGTCGCGAGGCCTTCACTTGGGTCCAAAGACAAAACACAATCAGAGAATAACTGATACAGTGATAAACCTGAGTAAAGAGTGTCATAAGACACGTCTGATACTCGTGGCGAGGCAGGAGCATAGAGGAAGCAACTTTAAGTGTAGTGACTCTCATCAAACACCAAGTGTTTGGAACGGCGTTGGTAGGATCTTCCAATAAGTGAGGTGCGAAAGATGTACTGAGGTAGTGAAATCTGGCGTCGGCGTCCCGCAGAGTTACATGATTCTAGGGGAGTACCCGGGGTGGCCCGGGTCTTTCAGTCTTTCCTCTGAATATACAATCCCAGAAAAAACGTAACTACGTTATTTTTAATTGCCCTTCACTCCCCCTTGACCCCCAACACCCTCCTCACTGATTAGTTTGTATTCCCTTTCATAAACTATATTATGGGTTTATCCTGGAGTGTCCGGGTGCTCTCCCCTTCTTCCTCCTCCCCTCAGTGTCCCCTTTTAGTCCTCCTCCCAACTCCCTCTTCCTGCCCCTACCCCCAGCTACCCGAACCCCCTCCCCTTGTCCTTCCCACCTTTCTCAATTTCCCTCGTCCTCCCCCAACCCTCCGCCCCTTCCCCCTCATCCCCCAACCCACGTCAACTTCTGTCCCACTCCCCCTCCCCTCTCCCGCCCTTTACCAGATCCTCTCCCGCCCTTCCCCCCTCCCCTCACACCTCCGATTAGCCCCTTTTCCCTTTCATTAAATATAATATTATGGAGAATTAAAACTAATTTATGCATTTAAGAATTAGTTTTTTCCTGATGACGTAAAAGTCTTCGGACACGTGAACGAATATTTCACACTTGACCAGAATGAAATCCGTGAGAATCGGGAGAGGGAGGTGTGAATAACGAATAATATTTCTTAAATCATTTACCTTAGGCCTACTCCCGACCAGCCTATATGTTCTCCGTCTTCGCTTCATGCAGGTCGGCGTTCAATCCCCGACCGTCCAAGTGGTTGGGCACCTTTCCTTTCCCCCCGCGTCCCATCTCAAATCCTTATCCTCACCCCCTTTCCCAGTGCTATATAGTCGTAATGGCTTGGCACCCTCTCCTCATAATTCCCTTCAATCCCGGACCCCCAGACGGTCTAAACAGAGTAAACTAAAAATTACAGACTCAGCCGCCATGATCCTTAAAAAAAAGGGATAAACAGGCTTCGTAAATGGAACCGTAAATGCTGCAAGATACGTGGAGGCCCGGTCTCTAACATTGTGTAGCAAACATTAATGCATGTCAATAACTAACAAGGAATTTATCCTGGGAGCCAGTTTGAACAGAGTACGGGGGGGGGGAGCAGTTCATGGGGACGATAAAGTTCAGAGTTTGTTCAACTGACTGATGCTTGTACCAGCCTGCTGGCTCTTTGTGATGCAACTGCCTATGTCGCGAATGAACAGCGTCTGTGTTACGAGTGAACAGCGTCTGTGGCACTAGAGAGCATCCATGCTGGGATAATACATCAAGTATACTAAAGTGGATACAGACCACGTATCCAAGAGTGTCATCTGGGATATAATAATTGACAAAAAATATACAATTGAACTCCTGCCAATACCGACCGACAGGCGAACGCACATTTTAAATTCTTTATGATATGCCAACACACCTCTTGCACGACTGTGGGGAGGGGGGAGGGACCTTCATTTCACTGTTCGTACCCAGATACGACCTCTGGCCTTGACCTTTGACCCTGAAATGTGACCTTGACCCTATGACAGTGGACTGTGAACGTGGTCAATAACCAGCTGTAGAGGTTTCGACAAAATGGACCTGCTTCTGTCGATTAAAGTCTAAAAGACGGGGTCCCAATAGCTACAGCTCCCGTCAAACATTACTGAGTAAACAACACACACAAATGTATACATATACACATAGGACACACATATATACATGACACACCCAAACACACACATACACACACACAGATGCTTAGTTTCAGAGCGTTATACGACAAAGAGTACTGGGAAGACGGGACACCACGAGCGTAGCTCTCATCCTGTAACTACACTTAGGTAATTACACTTAGGTAGTTAGGCAGAAGAAACACAGAGCTCTGGGTCCACCAACAACCATCATTCAACACAGTTATTAGCGCCGCCGACGGCTTAATTACAGGTAAAGGTAATTAATCCTCTGCTATTGACGCGCCTAACTCAATTGATCACTTCCCTATCAGCTGGTCACCAGGGTGCCACTCAGGCTCTCGTTACATTGTTACATCCACGAGGTGAAGTAGTTAGGTGATTTATAGAGCGCCAAGTTCTCGTGTTGCGTAGTTACATCTACTAGAGAGAGAGAGAGAGAGAGAGAGAGAGAGAGAGAGAGAGAGAGAGAGAGAGAGAGAGAGAGAGAGAGAGAGAGAGAGAGAGAGAGAGAGAGAGAGAGAGAGAGAGAGAGAGTGAGTGACAGAGATAGAGACAGATAAACAGAGAGAGACGGAGAGAGGCAGAGAGAGAAAGAGAGAGAGGGAGAAATAAATAAATAAATGTATATATATATATATATATATATATATATATATATATATATGTGTGTGTGTGTGTGTGTGTGTGTGTGTGTGTGTGTGTGTGTGTGTGTGTGTGTGTGTGTGTGTGTGTGTGTGTGTGTGTGTGTGTGTGTGTGTGTGTGTCTCATACTTGGCTTGACGCAGGCTGTGCTACCATGTGTTAATTACTCCCAAGATCCTATATACTGACCAACCAGCCTATGGTCATAATGGATCTGCAGGATATACTGAGTTTGGAGTATAACTTTGCATCTGTAACTCTGAACAGCCTTGTTGTGAAGTTATTCTTCGTTCCAAATCAATTTTGTTTTTGTTATGGCATGTGGCGTCAACAGGAGTTTGTGGTCACCAAGAGACACCACGAGTCACCGAAGCCAGCCGAGGAGACATCGAGCAACTTCTTCTCTAAGTACTGTAGTGTTAGACCTGCAAGAGACGATCAACAGCGGCTCAGTAGGGATCAGTAGGGAGAGAGGGGACCCTTTACGGTGTAAATCTCCCTACTAGTAGCAAGGTGGAATCCTTGTGTTTCAAGAGATGGTATTGTGAGAGTCGACCGCAGGGGGAAGTTCCTGTATCTGGATGCTACTAGGGGTCATTCCTGGTCAACGTGTACTCGACAGCACACTGGTGGGAGAAGCTACCGGGCCCTGTCACCTTCCTTCATGGGAGAAGGTGAAGACCAGCAAAAGAAGCTGTTGTGCTCATCAACGCAGAATGTCCTTCTCCTTCTAATGTCACAACGCTGTTGTGACATTAGAAGGAGAAGAGTGCAAGTCTCCAAGAGTCAAGAAGACGACCTGGCGAATCGTGTACGCACCACAACAGGCTGTTGAGACGGAAGCCGCTGGTCCACACTTTATTAAGGCTATATAAACGTCCCTCTCCACCCCCCACCCCTCCTCCTCTTTTATATAGGATGTTGATAATATTATTCCAGTGAGTACGGAATAATTTTCTTATTACCTGCGAGCAGGTATACAGACATCATATATATATATATATATATATATATATATATATATATATATATATATATATATATATATATATATATATATATATATATATATATATATATATATATATATATATATATATATATATTATTGTTTGCTCATTAATGTTTTGTGTTGATACAAGACATTAATAAGTTTAGTTTACCGTCGTCAGAAAACTCTCAAACTCTCAAAAGTCAAGACATAGTTAACCATTAGTGTGTTGACTAGAGAGTGTCTGCACTCTTGCTAGTGAAAGTTATCATTCCGCTATGAAGAGTGTCCTGAGCGGTATTGCCCTTTTGCATTCAAATTTGACTGAAGAGTGTTGTCATGTTTAACAGGTTACCACACAGCCTGGTCTCCTCAGGTTTCCCAACGTCAAGAAAACGGTCAGATCAAAGTGTCCTCTCCTAATCTACCAGAGGACCGAAAACAGAAAACGAAACAGTACGTCACTTTCGCGAACCGCTTCCATTTTCTAGTACGACTTCCATCTTCTAGTACGACAATTTTTTGACCTTATGTAACGCATACGATCGAAAAGCGACGTTCTTTGCAGAAGGACAGGGTTGCATCACATTCAGTTGGCCACAAGCGAGTATACATAAGTTTCAGTAAATCATACGTTTTACATATAATTTCAGACTCACTTAAGGGAGCCGGTCGGCCGAGCGGACAGCACGCTGGACTTCTGATCCTGTGGTCCCGGGGTCGCTCCCGGGCGCCGGCGAGAAACAATGGGCAGAGTTTCTTTCACCCTATGCCTCTGTTACCTAGCAGTAAAATAGGTACCTGGGTGTTAGTCAGCTGTCACGGGTTGCTTCCTAGGGGTGGAGGCCTGGTCGAGGACCGGGCCGCGGGGACACTGAAGCCCCGAAATCATCTCAAGATGACCGTGTTGGAGAATCAAGTCACTCATGCTCACCACCAAGACATCAGGCATGTCTGGCCACAAAGCTGACCAACAGACACTTCGCTATACATTTAACAGGGCCGTCACCCCCCAGACTTCCCACGAGGTGCGACCAACGCCGACATTGAGGAAAAACGTTTGATTAAAGACACCCAGAATTACTCTGTCAGAGGACGAAATTAAACCTTTCCGCCGTCCAGATAAATTTAGCGGTCCCATTCTGAACAAAAACTAGATAATTAAAACAGAAAATCTGAAATTATTCAACCTTCAATGGCAATTAAATCAGGTCTGTATGTAAATGAGCGGCTAATCCAACCCTCACCACCACCACTCCATATAGTGAGTCCAATACGCCGAGCAGTTTCCACCCTAATCCATCACAGATTGGTTAACGATACTGAAATCCCAGCACATAAGTGCACGATTGCAAATATTCATCTAATCACCTGTGACAAATCAGGCTGTTCTCTCTCTATATATATATCCCACCACGTCCAAAATCCACCGTCCTAACCTAACCAGAACGGCACTAACCCAACCCACCCACCCACCCTAATCTACCGATGTATAGAAAACATAGATTTTTGTGAGGCGCTACTTGCCATACCACGCTGCATTTAGTACGCTGGTTACCATATATAATGTTACGTACCATAACTTTATATAAAGAGTTAAACAAGTGTATTGGTGATTGGTGTCAGCCATCCGGGTCTTTACTGAGTCACCTTCACTTCCTTGTCCTTAAGAACACAGGAATATATTCAACTATATAAGGCCTATTGATCCATTCGCGGCAACTATTATTTATATCCACCCCCACATCCATATACCATGTCCAGCCTACGCTTGAAACACCCCAACGATCCTGTGTGTACTGTGTTATCCTACGAGTACATACGTGGCCTCCGGAGCCTCAGTGGGGGCCACTGAGGCTCGATATCGTTATAGAGGCTCAATATATCAAGTATATATATTATGTGATATCGTTGTAGATGGTCACAACGATCCTAAGATTATTAAACTTTCTTGTATATTAAGAAATGCTATCTTGTGTTCATTTCCTGTGGTTATCGCTCTCTCTTAACCCGGCAGCCACTAATACGCTTGGCATATAAAGCTGGGATCACTATATTGTTACCACAATCACCACCACCACCACCATCACCACCACCACAATCACCACCATCACCACCACCACCACAATCACCACCACCACCACCACCACCACCACAATCACCACCACCATCACCACTACCATAATCACCACCACCACCATCATCACCACCACCACAATCACCACCACAATCACCACCACCACAATCACCACCACCATCACCACTACCATAATCACCACCACCACCATCATCACCACCACCACAATTACCACCATCATCATCACCACCACCACAATCACCACCACAATCACTACCACCCCAATCACCACCACCATCACCACTACTACAATCACCACCATCACCACCACCACCATCATCACCACCACCAACATCACCACCACCACAATCACCACCACCACCACCACTCCCACCACCACCATCACCACCACAATCACCACCACCATCACCACCACCACCAACACAATCACCACCACCATCACCATCACCACCACCACCACCATCATCACCACCACCACCATCACCACCACCACCATCACCACCACCACCATCACCATCACCACCACCACAATCACCACCATCACCACCACCACAATCACCACCATCACCACCACCACCACCACCACAATCACCACCACCACCACCACCACAATCACCACCACTACCACCATCACCACCACCATCACCACCACCACCACCACCACCATCACCACCACCATCACCATCACCACCACCACCACAATCACCGCCATCACCACCACCACCACAATCACCACCACCACCACCACAATCACCACCACCATCACCACCACCACCACCACCACCACCACCACCACCACCACCACCACCACCACCACCACCACCACCACCATAATCACCACCACACCCACCACCACCACCACCACCACAATCACCACCACACCCACCACCACCACCACCACCACCACCACCACAATCACCACCACCACCACCACCACCACCACCACCACCATCACCACCACCACCACCACAATCACCACCACCACCACAATCACCACCACACCCACCACCACAATCACCACCACCACCAACACCACAATCACCACCACCACCACCACCACAATCACCACCACCACCACCACCACAATCACCACCACCACCAACACCACAATCACCACCACCACCAACACCACAATCACCACCACCACCACCACCACAATCACCACCACCACCACCACCACAATCACCACCACCACCACCACCACAATCACCACCACCACCACCACCACAATCACCACCACCACCACCACCACAATCACCACCACACCTATAATTACATAATACAAAACTCCTTCTCTCTGCTTTGTTAGAGTTTACAAAGATCACATTAGCATAATTATTGAAATTTACTCAAAGATTCTTGAAAGTTCAAACTAATTAAGCGCCTTTTAAGCTATCAAGGAAGCGAGTAGTCCTGTTAGCATTCAATTAATTGCCGTAATTATATGCGGGGGAAGAGCGAGAATGGTTGTAATAGAGGAATATTACCTGTAACTTAAGAAGCGGGGGCTCACCTGGAGGTAATCACATACAGGTGCTTGTAGGGTTGAAATGCTTGTCTACAAGTCTAACCTTTCGATGCAACTAATGCTAAATGGCCCATAATGACCCGGTCCGCCTTCCTTCTTGGCCGGTCCATCTCGCGCTCTAGCGGTTCTCCCGGTGATGGTGGAGTGGCTGGTCCACCTCGCGCTCTAGCGGTTCTCCCGGTAATGGTGGAGTGGCCGGTCCACCTCGCGCTCTAGCGGTTCTCCTGGTGATGGAGGAGTGGCTGGTCCACCTCGCGCTCTAGCGGTTCTCCCGGTGATGGTGGAGTGGCTGGTCCACCTCGCGCTCTAGCGGTTCTCCCGGTGATGGTGGAGTGGCTGGTCCACCTCGCGCTCTAGCGGTTCTCCCGGTGATGGAGGAGTGGCCGGTCCACCTCGCGCTCTAGCGGTTCTCCCGGTAATGGTGGAGTGGCCGGTCCACCTCGCGCTCTAGCGGTTCTCCTGGTGATGGAGGAGTGGCCGGTCCATCTCGCGCTCTAACGGTTCTCCCGGTGATGGTGGAGTGGCTGGTCCACCTCGCGCTCTAGCGGTTCTCCCGGTAATGGTGGAGTGGCCGGTCCACCTCGCGCTCTAGCGGTTCTCCCGGTGATGGAGGAGTGGCCGGTCCACCTCGCGCTCTAGCGGTTCTCCTGGTGATGGTGGAGTGCCTGGTCCACCTCGCGCTCTAGCGGTTCTCCCGGTGATGGAGGAGTGGCTGGTCCACCTCGCGCTCTAGCGGTTCTCCTGGTGATGGTGGAGTGCCTGGTCCACCTCGCGCTCTAGCGGTTCTCCCGGTGATGGAGGAGTGGCTGGTCCACCTCGCGCTCTAGCGGTTCTCCCGGTGATGG